CGGGCTCGTCTCGCCGACCAGCCGAGGCCGCCAGAGAGATGCCACGTCCTCGAACAGGCTCAGGTCGACGCCGAGTACAAACTCGCTGTGGTGGTCGAAATGCTGAATCCTTAAATGGTGGTTCGGGCAGAGAGAGAGAGAGAGAACAAAAAAAGGAGGGCGGAGGGGGGAGGACGAGGAGGAGGAAGGGGAAGAGGAGGATGAAGAGGAAGAGGCAAGAGGGGAAGGAGAGAAGGATACGGAAAAGGGAAGGAAGAAGGGAAGGAACTAGCTGTGGTTATCGAAAGACTAAGTGGGAACGGAGAGGAATGATGAGATAAGGATCATGATTCCTTGGAAGACTCCTTGGAGGGGCACTGGTGGAGGGAGAGGGAGACGAGGAGGAGGAAGAGGAGGAAGAGGAGGAGGCGAAGAGAAGATGACACTGGGATTATGCTGCTGCACGCTAGGGGCCACCCGTAAACGGGCCCGAGCGGACGGCTTGTCCGAGCAATAGGATAGTGCCGCGCTAGTGGAAGGGTAAACTCGAGGTCGGCCCACATCCGTCCCACAGCCTCTCAAGTTGCCATCCGAGGCAGAAGAAGGGGAGAGGAGCTGAGAAGAGGAGGGGAGGAGGACGAGGAGACGGGCAATGAAGAGAACGAGAAGGATGAGGCGAGGAAGAGCCAGAGGCGGCGGGGAAGCGCACCAGCAGCAGACCACGAAGAGGAGGAGTAGGAGGAAGAGGAGGAGGAGCCCATTCCATATCTTTGTCCCTCGTCGGCTGACGCGTCAACTGTCGAGACCAGTCGAGCCTGTTCCCCCTCCTCGTCCTCCTGCTACTGGTGTTCCTGCTCCTCCTCCTCCTCCTCCTCCTCCTCCTCCTTCTCCCCCTCCTCCTCCTCCTCCTCCTCCTCCTCCGTCCTTGTCCTTGCAATGAACTCCTCCCCGTCGCATCCCCAGGCGTATCGGTAGGGCGGGCCAGGCATTTCGCCAGAGGCTGCCTTGCACTTCATGACTCTGAAGGTGAAATTCACAACGGCTTCACGCTTTCAAAATGTGGCTCTCGCCTCAGCGCCGCGCACATTCGTCTTACAAGTTCGCAACAGTTTCAAGGATGAAGGGCTGGTCATTATCAGAACGCCACTCCCGCCTACGCCGCGCACATTCGCCTTAAAAGCTTGAAACCATTTCACGGATGGAGGGCGGGTCGTTTTCAAAATGCAGCTCTCGCCTTCGCGCTGCGCGCATACGCATACGCAACGTCTGACCGTGCAGCTCTGGGAGCGACTCGCCCCATAAATGCGGCGGACATACAAAGTAACTACTGCACATGCAAAGCAAGCACACCCCTCGCACGCGTTCAAAAAATTACGAATGGCTGTTAGTCATAAAATGCAAATAATCCTCCTCTAGAGCATTACATGGAAAACTCTTGCCTTGTCGCAGTGCTTCCTGCAACAAAAACCCTTTCGTCGACAAACACTGGCGTACAGAATCAGTCCACCTCGCCCTGGGTCTGCACCGGCGCCTGGGGACGTCAAGTATCCATCGCATGACGACTGCAGGCCACGACGCACAGACGCGACATCAACCGCCATCGAGCTCTACAGAACACTTCAGTGCATTCAGAAACAACGAACATGTTGATGGCCCGCACAATCGTTTTGCACGTTTACAGCAGTTTCAGGAATTCGTATCGTCGAAGTTCCAGCATTGGTGCTCTGGCACAGTTTAGGATGTCAGGACGCAGCAGCCACACTGGTTCGCCAGGAATGGTGTTCTGGCACGATTTATACGTGTGAGGACGCAACAGCCACGTTGATCCGCGGCGTTGAAGCCAAATGGACTGTGTTTGAGCATTATCATACGACTGTATTCGAACGGGCCACTTCCTGCAATGAGAATGGTATCTGTTAGGGGCCTGTCAAGAGGGAACTTGGATGGAGGGTGCATTGCAACATCGTGGATGCACCTTGGGCTCACAATGGTCCTCCTCCCCCTTCTTCTCCTCATCCTTCTCCGCCACGCGAAGTGCAGCGACAGAGCACCAATGAAGCTACCAGAGCGGTCGCCTGTACAGGCGACCACGTGCGAATCCCTCCGCTGCGGGTCCTCTCTTTGACGCTGCCGACGTCCCTTGCGACATCTCAGTTCTTGAGGGAGATACACGCGGGCGAACGCGAGCCCTCCACACATCCAGCGGTTCGGCGCACCAACAAAAACAAGACTTTGGGGGTTCACGTCTCGAAAAATCAAGCGGCTGGAAGCCTGGTCCATGAGAGGGATATCGGACACCCCAGGGCCGTCTGAACCTGCAGGGGCGCGGGGCGCATGTAATTGCAGAGCTGAGGCGACCACATCTGGCCCATGTTCATGTCCCATACGTTCACGGACATGTCGTAGGAGGACGAGACCTCAGACGGGGTGGTCACGCAGTCCATGTACGCCCATACCCCCTCTAACGTACTCTTTTTCTGATGTGTATGTATACAAGCACATCAATTACCCTAGCCAGCCCAACAAGCCAGCCCAACCAACCCAACCGACCCTGCCAGCCAACCCGCAAAACCAGCCCAACACCACGCCAACTCACTCATCTCGCCGCCAGCCCCCATCACCGCCGAGGGGGGGAAGTGTCCTGTACAAGCGAGACTGGTTGCGAACCGCCCTCCCCAGCCGGGTGGGACGGCGGCGGGAGGCAATCACACTCTGTCGTGGCGGGCCAGGCTTCGCGCCGCGAACTGCCATAGACGGCTGGGGCTCTCAAGTGCGACACTGTCTCCACTTGCCAACTTTCACCGCGCTCGCACTCTGCAAGGAGAAACTCCCATCCTGGAAAATCTGAAGTCACTTGTTAGGCCCGGGTGCGCGGGTGCGCGGGTGCGCGGGTGCGCGGGTGCGCAGGTGCGTGGGTGCGTGGGTGCGCGGGCGCGCGGGTGGGCGGATGCGCGGGTGCGCTGGTGCGTGGGTGCGCGTGCGCGCGGGCACGTGGGTGCGTGGGTGCGCGGGTGCGCGGGTGCGCGGGTGCGCGGGTCCGCGGGTGCGGGAGTGCGTGGGCGCGCGGGTGGGCGGGTGTGTCTCTTGGGCCTCTCGTGGGGTCCTCTTGGGTCGTCTTGGACGCCTCTTGGGCCGTCCTGGGCCCGTCTGGAGCCATCTTTGGGCCCTCTTGGGGACCGTCTTGGGCGATCTTGGAGGCCTCTGGGGCCGTTTTGGACGCTTCGAAGACCAATGAGCCGAATCTGCTGAAAATGTCAATTTTCCGAAGGGAATGTGACGATTTTTGCTTGATGGAGCCCTTTCGGGGGACCCCTTGGACCCGCCTGGAGCCGTTCGGAGGCGTCTTTGGGGCTCATGGAGCCGTCTGGAGAACATCTTGGACCGCCTGAAAGCCGTCTTGGGTCGTCTCAGGGCCTCCATGGGCCGTCTCGGGGCTCTTCTGGGGAGCTCCGGTGCCGTTTCGGGCCCTTCCGGGGGCCATCCGGAGCCGTTTGGTGGTTCTCTGAGGGCTCCGGGGACCGGGGGCCCCCGCAAACCCACCAAGCATCTTTCGGATTTATTTGAATGACCTCCTCCTCCTCCTGCCACCCCTCCTCCTCCCCCTCCAAATGTACTTGCACATTACACGGTGATGTCTTGCGCCACCCTTCCTCCTCCCCCTCCAAATGAACTCCCCTTTTCCGATTGCGCATCACACGGTGATGTCTTTGGGGGAGTTCCAGATCCGCTACGACACACGTCCGCGGATGGGGAAAAAACACAACGGGAGGGTATGGGTGGGAGGGGTAGAATGTCAGATATGGCGCGAGCGCACCTAGCTTGTCCTCCTCACCTCGCTCCCTCACCACCCCTCCCCTCCCCCCTAAACAGAACAGGCCTGCTGGCCACGTCTACGAGATCTATGTCAGCGCGTAGAAACAATGTCGACGGACACGTTAGCATGTTCATGTCTTTGCTGTTTGCAAATGCATGCGTGTTAGCCCCTTTCATGCAGCAGCATTGCGTGTCTCGCGGAGACCAAAGGCGCCTACCAGTTGATGCTCAGCATGCGGGTGACACTTCACCTGCGAAAGAGGAAGGCAGACGGCAACCATGAAGAGGAGTGGCGAATGGCAATCCGCCGACCCCTTGGGGATCATCGGCGTGTGAGATGCTTCCCCCTCCCCAAACCCCTCCCCCGGGAGCCCGGTCCGGTCGATTTGGAGGGGGGGGGGGGGGTCGAGCGCGAGCGGGGGGGGTCCGGGACGAGCGGTTCACGGGGCTTTTCCGAGCCCAAGAGGGCCTCAAGACGGGCCAAGAAGCCCCCAAGAGGCCTCCAAGACGGCCCACGAAGGCTCCGAGACGCCAAACGACCGGTCCAAGACGCCCACGATGGCCCCAAGACGGGCCAAGAGGTCTCCAAGACGGCCTCCGAGGTCCCAAACAAGCCTCCCAAGAGGACCCCAAGAGTCTAAAATTGTTGATTTTCCATAGTGTTTTTCTATGTTTTTTGCTTTTCCGCCTTTTCGGCTTCCCGACGCTCCAAGACGGCCAAAGAGGCCCCCAAGAAAGCCCCAAGATGGCCCAAGAGGCCCCCAAGACGGCCTCCAGACGGCCCAAGACGGCCCCAACACGGCCCAAGATGTCCCCAAGACGGCCCAAGAGGGCTCCAAGACGGCACCAACAGGGGCCCAAGAGGGCGACCAAACATGTTGAAACTCTAGCTTTCTGCCCCCAGGAGCCCCAGGGGGCCCCAAGAGTGCCCCAAGAGGCCCCCAGAGGCCCTCACGAGGCCGCCCAGACGCCCCAAGGAACCCCCAAGAAGCACCCCAGAGGCTCCGAAACGGCCCCCAAGTGGCTCCAAAACTCGCTTTTCACCCCTTCGCAGCATCTACTACCCCCAGATTGGCATAAACAAGGGGTCGGCGGTGTGGCGTAAGCCTAAGAATCTGCCAATCCATCTGCGCATCCAGGAAGGGCACCCCGCGCGCGTACGTTTTCCCGTACCTCTCTGCAGTGCTGACGATGACTGAACTCCAACGTACAACTGGAGCGTGGCCGCGAGAACGCGTGACAGAGGGCGCGACCCCGCTCGCCGAAGACCCAAGGCCCTGTGAAGATGCCCCGAACGAACAGGCGGTCCAAGGTGGGGAGATCCCAAGCACGAAGAACAGAAGAGTATTCGGGGTTTCTGAATGAGCGGGGGGGGGACCCCCCGACGGGGGTCAACCTCGCCTCGACGTCGCGCCGCGACGGGGGTCGGAGCGCCTTCGGCGCGCGGTGGCAGCCCGCGACGGGGGTCGATGTGGGGCTGTCGGCGGGGGCGACGCCCCCCCGACGCTCACTGAGAGACTCGGAGTACCCCTCCAAAGCTGGGGCGACTGTGGAACATCGTGGCAGCTGCACGTGCCCGCCGCCGTGTCGGCGATGGCCGCGGAGACCCCCACCGGCGTGGGTTGAGAGCGACGGGGGCCGCCAGAAGCGAACCGTTCGAATTGCAAGAGAGGGGCCCGATCACGAGACACCTTTGAGCGCGCGCTGCCTCTGGTGCAGCCTGGGGGGGCGCATCGCTCGGCCTCGCCAGAACATTGGTAAAAGGGCACGTTCAAACAGCACGCCAGTGAACACGCCAGTAACGACGTCGCAAGCACAAGTCGGACATCGGAAGCTATGCGACCGCAGAACAGTGCCTGTGCGTCGTGGAGTCACGGCAGGAGGCGGGAGAAGAGTGAGGGTGGCTTTCTATCACCTTCGACGACCCAACCGACCCCACAAGCAGCTGCCACGACAAGGACAGGTCGCCGAAATCTGGCCATCAGCGGCTGACATGGAAGAGCCGCCGCAGGTCGCTGGCCCGTCAAAAGGGAAGAGGAAGAGGGACCAACGGAACGAGGGAAAGCGAAAAAGGAAATGGATAAAAGGGGAAGGAAGAGGGAGGGGAAGGGAAGGAGGGGCAGGAGGAGCAGGAGGAGGAGGAAGAGGAGGAGTCGGGAGGAGGGATGGGGAAGAAGAAGAGGGAGTGCGGAGGAAGGAGGAGGAGCAGGAGGCGGCCAGGACCCCTGGGCCGACTCAGGCACCCCCAGGCAACTTCTTCGGCCCCGCCCCCCCTCCCCACGAACCCCCGCGGCCCGCCCGCAATCCATCCTCCCTCATCCTCCCCCCTCCCTCCCCCTCCAGAAGCCTCCACCCCCCACATCCTCGATCCACCGTCCACCCCCTTCCCAAACCATCCCGTGGCGCTGGGCCCTCGCTTTGGAACCCGCAGCACCGCGCCCCACCGCACCTTCCGCCCCCCCCACCCCCTCCTTACATCCGCGGCGCCGACCCACTAATTTCGGCACCCCCCTCTTAGGTTTCGTGGCCCCACAGGGAGCTCAGCCGAAGGCCCCAGTGGAAGGGTTCGCAGGGCGCCAAGCCGCCCATTTCGGCACACGTCTCACGCGCTTCGTGGCCCCACAAATGGAGTTCCGTCGAAGGCCCCAGTGGCAAAGTTCGCACGGCGCCGCCCTACCAATTTCGGCGCAACATCCGCACATTTCGTGGGAAGCTCCACCGAAGGCCCCAGTGGCAGGGTTCGCGTGGCGCCGCCCCACACATTTCGGCACACCATTCACACGCTTCGTAGCTCCATAAAGAGCTTCACCGAAGGCCCCACTGGCAGGGTTCGCATGGCGCCGCCCCACCCATTTCGGCACATATCCCAGAAATTTCGTGGTCCCATAAGGAGCTCCTCCGAAGGCCCAAGTCAGGGTTCGCATGGCGCCGCGACCCCGTGTCCGCCCTTCTCTTTCTATCAAAGCCGCAGTCCTTGTTGCTGGCCCCTTCCTCCTTCGTCACACCTGCCTAAGGATATTCGCAGCTGCAGATGGTTGGGCGCTTCACCCCGACCAGTTGTTCTTGACGGCCGCGCGGCCCGAAACGGGCCCCTGGACGCTTAGAGTTGAGAAATCTGGGCGCCAAGGAGGTCGAGGCCCTCCCCCTCGGAACCGACCCCCAGACATCCCCGAAGGCAGGTTGAGAATCCATGAGAGCTGGCGGGTCTGAAGAATGTATCAGGCGCCGTGGCCGTGCCAGAGCGCTCCAGAACGTTCTGAGGGCGCCCCGAAACGCTCTGGAGCGGTTCATCCTCACCCTAAGCCTGTCTGCTGCGGTGCCCTCCTCCTCCTCCTCCTCCTCCTCCTCCTCCTCCTCCTCCTCCTCCTCCTCCTCCTCCTCCTCCTCCTCCTCCTCCTCCTCCTCCCCTGCTAGATTAGCAGGCTGCCTGCCTTCACTGGGGCCTATCGACGGCGGATGCGGGGGCGGCGGCGAAGACGCTGGCGGACGCCGATACCGACAACGACGGCGACGTCGGCACTCCCTCCATTCTCCCTTCCCTCCCTCGATCCTCGGTCCTCCCTCCCCCAGTCCACGACGCCGACGTCTGCCTCGATCCTCGGCCATCCCCCCCTCCTCCCCATAGCTCCTCCTCCTTCTCCTCCTCCTTCTCCCCTCCTACTCCTCTCCTCCTCCTCCTCCTCCTCCTCCTCCTCCTCCTCCTCCTCCTCCTCCTCCTCCTCCTCCTCCTCCTCCTCCTCCTCCTCCGCACTCCGAGGTGACGACGACGACGACGACGACGCCGCCGACGATGACGAAAGCGACGACGCCGACGACGGCGGCGGCGGCGGCGACGCCGGCGACGCTGGCGACGGCGAGCTCCGCCCGAAGCCCCCTAAAGCAGGGCCGCGGGCGGAACGCCGCGGGCGGGCGGAGGGGGCGGTCGCCCGCCGGACCGCCAGCTGGTGCCCGTGGAGCACCTGCGCGGCGCAATCGCCGCCGCCGCCGCCTCGCCTCCTGGCCGCCGCTCTCGTCCGCGTCCTCGCCGTCGGCGGCGTCCGCGGCGTCCGTGACGTCGACGCCGTCGCCGTCGCCGTCGCCGCCACCGCCGCCGTCTGCATCCTCTTCATCGTCCGCGTCGTTGTCGTCGCCGTCGTCGCCGCCGTCGTCGCACTCGGCGTCGTCTCTTCAGAGGAGGGGGAGGAGGAGGACGACGACGACAAGGGGGAATGAGGAGAGAGGGAGGAAAAGGAAGGAGGAGGAGAAGGAGGAGGAGGACGACGAGGCGGAGGAGGAAGACGAGAAGGGAAGGTGGGACTTCTTTGAGGACGATTGGCCTGTGCCCGTTGGTGGACCGTTCATTTGTCGAAATAACGACATATAGTTCCTGCACGAAGGCACACGCGGAGGAAGGAGGATGACGATGGCGATGGCGATGGCGATGGCGATGATGATGCTGATGATGCTGATGATGCTGTTGTTGATGATGATGGTGGTGGTGATGACGATGAGGAGGATGACGATGACGATGACGATGACGATGATGATGAGGATGAGGATGAGAATGAGGATGAGGGTGAGGATGTGGATGAGGATGAGGATGAGGAAGAGGATGCGGATGAGGATGAGGATGAGGACGACGATGAGGATTAGAATGAGAATGCGGATGCGGATGCGGATGATGATGATGATGATGATGATGATGACGATGATGTTGATGATGATGGTGATGATGGATATGATGGTGATGGTGATGATGATGATGATGGTGGTGATGATGATGATGATGATGATGATGGTGATGGTGACGGTGATGGTGATGATAATGATTATGATGATGATGATGATGATGATGATGATGATGATGACGATGATGATGATGATAATAATGATGATGATAGTGATGATGATTATAGTGATGATGATGATCACGATCATGATGATGGTGATGATTGTGATTATGATGATGGTGGTGGTGATAATGATGATGATGATGATGATGATGATGATGATGATGATGATGATGATGATGATGATGATGATGATGATGATGATGATGATGATGATGATGGTGGTCGTGACAGCCCAAGAGGCCCCCAAGAGGCCTCCAAGACGGCCCAAGAGGCTTCCAAGAGGTCCTCCAGGAGGGCCTGAAGAGGCCAAAATCCGTGGTGTTCCCTAGGTTTGAAGGATTTGGGCATTTGCTTCTGTTCGGCATTCCGACGGCCCAAGACGGCCCAAGAGGCCCCCAAGATCGCCCACGAGGCCTCAAATATGGCCACATGACGGTCCAAGAGGCCCCCAAGACGACCCCAAGAGAGCACAAGAGGCCTCCAAGACGACCAAAATGGCTTCCCAGACGGCTAAGATGGCCCCAAGATGCCTCCACGACGGCCCAAGATGCACCCAAGACGGCCTAAGCTGGCCTCAAGATGGCCCAAGACGGCCCAAGAGGCCCCCAAGAGGCCTCCAAGACGGCCCAGAAGGCGTCCAGGAGGTCTTCCAGGAGGACACGATGAGGCCAACACCATTGATGTTACTAAGGTGGTTTAAAAAAGTTAACATGCACTTCTTCTCAGCATTCCGACGGCCCAAGACGGCGCAAGAGGCCCCCAAGATCGCCCAAGAGGCCTCCAAGATGGCCCCATGACGGCCCAAAAGGCTCACAAGATGGCCCCAAGAGGGCCCCAAATCGGCCCAAGAGGCCTCCAAGACGCCCAAGATGGCCTCTAAAAACCCCTGACATGTCCCAAGAGGGCCCCCAAACGACCCAGACAAGCCCCCAAGACGGCTTCCGACGGCGTCAGACAAGCCAGGAACACCCTAAGACGGCCAAAGAGGCCCCCAAGAAGCCCCGAAGGCCCCCCAAAACCCTCCAAGAGGCCCCCAGGAAGCTCCCAGGAGGCCCCAGGAGTGCCCCAAGAGGCGCCTAGGAGGCCTCCTCCTCCTCCTCCTCCTCCTTCTCCTCCTCCTCCTCCTCCTGCTCCTGCTCCTGCTACTGCTCCTGCTCCTCCTGCTCCTCCTCCTCCTCCTCCTCCTCCTCCTCCTCCTCCACAATAACTCAATATGAATACTACTCTCCCTCTTCCCCTGATGACGTCTTTTGCGTATTCGCCCCCCCCACGTACTGATTTATTACACACACACACACACACACACACACACACACACACACACACACACACACACACACACACACACGATTCCCCAGAGTTGGGTTTTCGCATGCGTTTTTCCAAAATGCTGCTTTCGCTGAGGCGCCGGCCTCATTTCTGCTCCCGAATCGTTCCGAATCGTGCTCTCGCTGCAGCGTGGGCCTCATTTTCGAATCGGTGTTGTGCCTCCGTCGTTCAGGATGGCGCTCTCGCCCCAGCGCGGGCCTCTTTCTCGCGCGCCCATCCGCCCGCCACCACCGCGCCGCACCACGCCCCGCCCCGCCGCACGCACACCCACCGCCACTTCCACCCACCAACGCACGCACGCACGCACGCGCACCACCACCGCGCACCGCCACCACCACCGCACTACCCCACCCACCACCACCACGCTACACCGCGTCACACCACATCACACGCGCGCACACACAGACACACACGCACGCACGCACGCACGCACGCACGCACGCACGCACGCACGCACGCACGCACGCACGCACGCACGCACGCACGCACGCACGCACGCACGCACGCACGCACGCACGCACGCACGCACGCACGCACGCACTCACACACACACACACACACACACACACACACACACACACACACACACACACACACACACACCACCACCACCGCCACCACCACCACCGCCATCACGCACGTACGCACCTGGCCCACCACCAAACCACCAAGACGCCACACCACGTCACACCACAGCACACGCGCACACACGCGCACACACACACACACACACACACACACACACACACACACACGCACACACACACACACACACACACATACACACCACCACAACAACAACCACAACCACGCACGCACACACGCACTTACGCACGCGCACCACCACCCACTACGCACACGCGCGCGGAGCCACAGGTCCGCTACGACACGCGTCCGCGGATAGAAAAAATCAGCGCCATGGTAAGGGATGGGAGGGAGGGGTAGGACGTCAGATGTTGACGCGAGCGCACCTAATTTGTCCTCCTCCTCCTCCTCCTCCTCTTTCTCCTCCTCCTCCTCCTCATCCTCATCCTCTTTGTTCCTCATCCTCCCCCTCCTCCTCTTCTTGCTCCCCCATGCGTTCCCCGAATTTTTTCCAAACCGACTCGGGGAACAACTGGCCCGATAGCTTGGCCAAGCTCTGGCCCAGCTGTCGGCCACAGAGGCGCTTCCTAAAGGGCAGGAGGCGGTGGTGATTCGCCGTAGGCGTCTTCGATCCGCCGCCCTTGCCACAGGGGTGCCTGGCGTGCTGGATCCTAGACGGTTTGGTTCTTCTAAGAATTCCCCCTGGGGCTTCGGCCCAGCGCGCTGGCCACGCAGAAGGCGGCGCGCAAACGATCGCAACGTCCAGAAACAATCCTCCAAGATTGCTCAAGATGGCCTCCAAGAGGGTCCAGATGGCCCAAGATGGCTTCCAAGTTCGCCCAAGATGGTCCAAGATGGCCTCCAAGACGGCCCACGAGGACTCCCAGAGATATTCCAGGAAGGCCCGAAGAAGCCCAAACCATTGATGTTCCTGAGGTGTTCGAAGGATCTTGGCTTTTCCTCCAGTTTCGTGTTCAAACCGCTGAGGACGCCTCAAGGAGTTCCCAAAATCGTACCAGAGGCCTCCAAGATGGCTCCAGATCGGCCCAAGAGGCCCCCAAGCCAGCCCCAAGAGGGCCACAAGACGGCTCAAGGGCCTTCCAAGACGCCCAAGATGGCCTCCAAGATTTGTTTTGTAGTCTCAGGGCTGCGCCCATGCTCCCCCAGGCTGGGGGCAATCTGGCAGGCTCGAACGCGCAAACGGCGCGCTCAGAGCCCATCCGTCTGCTGCTGTTTCCTCTTGTCGAACTCCCCTGCGCGCCTGCTCGTTCCAAGATGGCCTCCAAGATGCCTCCAAGGTGGCCAAGACGACCTCCAAGACGGCCAAGATGGTCCAAGATGGGCCCGAGAGGACCACGGGATCGCCAAAAGATAACCCAAGAGGCCCCATGACGGCTCACAGGGCCCCAAGACGGACCCATGAGGGCCCCAAGACGGCCCAAGAGGCCTCCAAGACGCCCCAGATGGCCTCCAAGACGGCCCCGAAGCGCCCCAAGACGGCCCCAAGTCGGTTCAGAGAGGCCACCAAGGCGGCTTCCCAGTCCTAAGACGGTCAGAGGCCTTCAAGAAGCCCCCTAAGGCGCCCAAGAGGCCCAAGAAGGCCCCCAAGACGCCTCCAAGAGCTCCCAGAAGCTCCCAGGAGGCCCCAACAGTGCCCCAAGAGGCTTCCAAGAGGCCTCCTCCTCCTCTCCCTTGTTCCTCCCTCTCCTCCACTTCCTCTTTCTCTCCCCACGTGTTCCCCGAAGGCTTTCCAGACCGATTCGGGGAACACATGGTCCGATAGCTTGGCCAAGCTCTAGCCCAACTTTCGACCACATAGGTGTTTCCAGAAAGGTAGGGGGCGGCGGTGATTCGCCGCAAGCGTTTCGATCCGCCGCCCCCTGTGGTCTTGCAACAGGGGTGCCCGCCGTGCTAAATTTCAGATGGTGTTCGGTTCTTTTTAAAGCCCCCCCTGGGGCCTCGGAACAGCGCGCCAGCCACCTGGAAAGCTACCAAATGTTGGTCTCCATCGGCCCCATCGGCTCCAAGACGGCCAAGATGGCCCAAAATGGCCTCCAAAATGCCTCCAAGACGGCCACGATGGCACCAGGAGAGCCCAGGATGGCCCCAAGATGCATCTAAGACGGCTCAAGATGCACCCGAGATGCCCTCAAGATGGCTCAAGACGCTCCAAGAGGCCCCCAAGAGGCAGGAGGCCTCCAAGAGGTCCTCCAGGAAAGCCTGAAGAGGCCACCAAAATCATTGGTCTTCCATTGGTTTTGACAGACGTTGGCATTTGCTGCTTCTCGGCCTTCCGAAGGCCCAAGACGTCTCAACAGGCCTCCAAGATCGCCCCTAGAGCGCCCAAGAGGCCTCGAAGATGGCCCCATGACTGCCTCATAGGCCCCAAAGATGGTCCAGAGGGGACCCAAGACGGCTGAAGAGGCCTCCATGACGCCCAAGATGACCTCCAAGACGGCCCTGAAGCGCCCCAAGAGAGCCCCAAGACGAAGCCCCCAAGACGGCTCCCGACGGCGTCAGACGGCCCAGGAACGCCCTAAGACGGCCAAAAAGGCCCCGAACCAGCCCCCAAATACCCCCAAGAGGCCGAAGGAGACCCCCAAGAGGCCTCCAAGAGGCTCCCAGGAAGCTCCCAGGAGACCCCAAGAGTGTCCCCAGAGGCTCCAAATAGGACTACTCCTCCTCCTTCTCCTCCTCGTCTTCCTCCTCTTCCTCCTCCTCCTCCTCCTCCTCCTTCTCCTCCTCCTCCTCATCCTCTTCCTACTGCTACTCCCTTTCCCGTCTGCTCCTCATTCTCCTCTTCCTCACGTGTTCCCCGAAGGGATTCAACGACGGCTGGGGAAACACATGGTCCGATAGCTTGGCCAAGCTCTGGCCCCAACTTTCGACCACGCAGGCGCCTCCAAAAAGGCAGGGGGCGGCGGTGGTTCGCCGGAGGCGTCTTCGACATCTTCTCTGTTAACCCGAGGCATACCGTGCAAGTCGACGCACGAGCAAGCAAACGAAGAATTGTGCAAGCATCGGAAGCGACAAACAGACTGACAAGCAGGCAGGCAGGCAGGCAGGCGAGCAGGGGGCGAGCGGCCGGCAGCGGGCGGAGGGCCGCCTGCACGGGCCCCGCGAAGTTGCGCAGATCGAACACCCGCAGCGTCTTGTCCACGCCTCGGCCGCTCGGGGACGACACGGGAGAGCACCACGCGCATCCAGGGGCGCCGATGGTCCGGGCCTTCGGCGAGGCTCCTGGGCGAATGCGTGCATCGAGCATCGGCGACTCCGAAGGGTCTTGTTTGCAGAGGGTGTGGTTTTGCAACCGGCACCCTGGGGGGGGGCACCCTGGGGGGGCGGGCGAGGACCTCGTCAGAGCTCTCCGCCGCGCCCCGAGGCGGCCCGACGAGGACACTGTCGTGCTCCCCCGGCCCCAACAGTGCCGATCGCCAACCACCCCCCGCCGTAATCCATACCCTTTGTTTGTAGTCGCCGAATGGAGTGGCCGCCCCTGGGCGATTCGCCCCCGCCGTCGCCCCTGGGCGATTCGCCCCCGCCGTAGTCCATACCCTGTGCAGCCGGCCGAATGCAGTGGCCGCCCCCTGGGCTGGTCGCCCCCGCCGCCGCCCCCCGAGCCGCAGCGGGGGGCCGCCTGCACACGGAGCGCCCGGCCAACCCGTGGCGCACCAGCAGGCCGCGCGCGCGGGGAGGGGGGGGGGCGCCCCGCCGAGCGCGGGGGGGGGGGGCCGGTGAGGACCCCCCCCCCCGGCGTGCGGCGCGGCGGCCCCCGCGGGCCGAAGACGCAGCACGGCCTTCGGCGGCGAGCCCCAGGGCGAGGAGACCCACGGCCCGAGTGGTCCGACGGCTCGGCCCGCGCCGCCGCGGCCGCGGCCCCGCCTGGCGGCCGCAGCGCGGACGCAGCCAGGGCCGCGAGGGTCGGCGGGCAGCCTCGGAGAGGGGAGCGTGCAGAGGGGGCGGGCCTCCTCGGAAGGCTCGGCAGTCCGATCGTCCTTCCGAGGCCTGTCCCGGAAGCAGTCCCCCAGAGATACCAAAAGCCTTCTCGGGAGGACGGGGGGGCTTCTGAGAAGCCCCGCCGCATTCCGAGAGCTCCTCCTCCTCCTCCTCCTCCTCCTCCTCCTCCTCCTCCTCCTCCTCCTCCTCCTCCTCCTCCTCCTCCTCCTCCTCCTCACTGCACCCCCGAGCGCGCCGCCGAGGTATAGAATCAACCCTGCCGCCGTCGGGGACGCCTGTCCCAGGGCGGCTGGACAGCTCATGCCCCAGGGGTGCCGATCGTCGGGGTGCAAGCTTCCCGGCCGCTCCTGGGGCAAGCGTCCCCGACGGCGGGAAAGCTCATGTCTTCTAGCGCTATTCGTCGGCAAGTTAAGAGGGGAGCGATCCATGGATTTGGCGCGCGGTCGCCAAATCCATGGATCGGGGGAGGCGCCCTCCCCAAAAAGCGGCCGGCGCCGCCGCGCGCGGCGGCGGAGATCCGCGGTTTCCCGTGGACGCGGGACCCGTCGCTAATCCACGCCCCTTTGATCCATGTTTAGGGGGCCACATGCGAACCCTACCCCTACCCGCCGCGATTCCTGAGGGGTAGGGTGGGGTTCACTTCGTTCGGAAGCTCCTGAGCGAAGTGAACCCCACCCTCCCCCTCAGAAATCGTGGGGGTCGGGGCAGGGTTCGCATGTGAATCACTAGCCTAGGAGGGCGCAGCGGCCGCGGCAGCGATACAGTCGGGGCACGTCTTGCGCAGGGCATCCGCGCAGAGGCGCCCCGCATCCACGGGGTCGCGGCCGAGGAGTCCAGCCCGCGAGTCCGTAGATACAGTGGAGGCCAGTCCGCAAGAAACCGGCCGCAAGAAACCCAACCCTGAGCCCCCAGGATACGGATACAGTCGAGGTTGGTTGGAGAGGACACGCGAGAGGACACAAGACCCTTCCGAGGGCCACGTTGCCATAGGAATGTAAGAAGTCACGGGCCGCGAAGCTCAGGACACAAGGGTGCCCTCGATTTGGCAGGGTCTACCTGCTAGTCAGTCTCGACTGTAGAACAACCGACCGCAGTCAAACGACTGATCGCAACCGGCTGCGACGCAGCCGAAATGACCGAACCGCGGGCACCGTTGCTCCTCCATCCCCACCGCCGTCCCCACGCCCCGCGGGCGCCGAAGGCAAGAGAGAGAGAGAGAGAAGCGGCGCTGGCGTTACGCCGCGGTGCTCCCCCGTCGCTCATCTCCTTCCGTAAAAGCCAAGCCGGCACTGATCGGACGTAATCCCACGGCGGGTGCGTGTCAGGTGCCGGTCGCGGACTGAAGAGGTGCTCCCACTCGGCGGTTCTCGAGGGTGCATCAGCGGCGAGGGGCTCTAGTGTCCCTTGAACCCTATCTCGGTGCTGAAAGCCTCAGCCCCTCCCCTGAACGGGAACGATAGGGGGTGACCAGCCCAGGGGGAGCATCGAACTTGAATCGGCGATACATCCCCGATGGATCGGCGGTTGGCCTCCGATTGCAAAACCGCCAGTTCCTGGGCTGGGCGGGCTTCGGCGATGAATGGCTGCTTGGAGGTCGATGCATTACCGCCTATCCCCCCCGTCGTGTCCCCTGATATCCGCCCCCGCCGCGCTGTTTCGCTGTCGGCGATGGGCACAGCCCCTCGCCGCGGCCGGAGTTCCGCTCACGCGAGGCCAGGCCCACACTGCAGGAGAGAGGGGTGGGGCCGGAGCGGAGACCAAGACGGGCGTTCTGCACCTAAAAGAGCTGTCGACGGCCCCGGAGGCCCGCGGAGGGCCCCGGGATCCCGAAGGCGGCGAGCAAAAAGCTCCAGGACCGCGGCCACCCAGGGCCCCTCCTCAGAAGAAGGAAGATCGGCATGAGCGTTGTGGATGCCATGGCAATGGACACCGTAACAGTCCTATCACTGAATTAACCATGTGTTTAAAACGTTTGAAAATGTCATGGAATTGCTCAACATATGTTTCCGTATGTTTAAAGCATGTATAAGACATGTTTTGCAAATCTGGAAATGATTTGGCAACATGCTTCCTCTCCATTGATCGTCGTGCACAGCATGAGCGCGAGCTCTCGGAGGTCCGCGCGGACTTCTCGGATGGGCGCTGGGCAGAGGACGGAAGAGCCACAAGCCCAGGGCACGACCCGTCCCCCCACACCACGCGCCACCAGTCGGGGATGCTCCACTCGCATGATTGCCGGTCGACCCCAACCCCGCCAACCGCACCCCAGCACCCCAGGCGCATGACACAGCCGCAGCCCCCCGCTGCCACCACCCCCGCCACCCGTCCCCATCCCCATCTCCTGCCTCCCCTCCTCGGTCTTCCTCCCCTCCCCGTCCCGGCACCCTCCCCTAACCCCATCCCCGCCCCCCATCTGGCGGCGCGTGCACGGGGGTGGCGCGAGAGGGGCGGCCTTCTGAAGGAGGCAGGGAAGGTCTGAGAGGCTCAGGTGGTTTCTCTGAGACTTTCTTCGGGGCCCCCTGGCCCTTCTGAGAAGGCCCCCTCCATCGAAGCAGCCACCGCCTTCTTACAAAACCGCCCCGCTCGCGCCGCCACCTGCGCGCGCCGACAACCCACCCTCCATCGCAAGCCCACACTGGCCCACGTTCTCCCTCCTACCTCTCAGCTACCCCTTCTGCGCGCGCCGCCAACCCACCCCCCATCACCAGCCCACGCTGGCCCACGTCGAAGTACTCCTCCCACGTCTCCTCCCCTCCCCTCGAACAGATCACCCTCAAGCCAATCCAGCGCGCGCACTCCGTGTGTTGAGGGGGCTCCTGGCTGCTTCGAATCGCCATGGGAATGACGAGTAGCCAGCGCCCGAGTCTGGCCAGGCGCCTTCCTGGACTGGTGCACAGGGCCTCCTCCTTCCTCGCTCCCCTCCTCCTCCTCCTCCTCCTCCTCCTCCTCCTCCTCCTCCTCCTCCTCCTCCTCCTCCTCCTCCTCCTCCTCCTCGCCAGCAGCATCCACCCATTATCATCACCATCATCACAATCATCATCAATCATTCTCATTCTATCTCATCATCATCATAATCAGCATCATCATCACAGCAGCATCAGCAATATCAGCATCCGCATCATCATCATCATCATCATCATCAATCATCATCATCTCATCATCATCATTCATCATCATCATCATCATCATCATCATCATCATCATCATCATCATCATCATCATCATCATCATCATCATCATCATCATCATCATCATCATCTTTTCATCTTTTCATATTTTCATCTTTTAATATTTTCATCTTTTCACCTGCGCATCATCATCATCATCAACAACAACATCAGCAGCAGCAGCAGTAGCAACAGCATGACCACGATCGCTCCTCCTACAACTGCTGGCACTGACTGCGAGCACTTATTCGCCGCGATTCCCCCTCAGCTCGTCGTCCTTTCCCTCCTCGTAGAAGGAGGCGACGAGGAGAGAGGGTGAGGCCACCCTACAGCACATGTGAAGAAGGCCCCCGCAGACTTCGGAACGGAAGCGTCCAGCAAACAACTCGAAGAGACACAGAAGATGCATCAATAGCGTGCAGGTGTGCCACTGGTTGGGAACATAATTTGGAACAAAAATTAGCCTGGCGAAACACCCAACCATATGCAGTTGTGAATACCGTCTTTGTGAGCAACGCATTCGGTGGAGCTCCCTATGGGGCCACGAAGCGCTGTCCTGGGAGGGGGAGACGCATGCGAACACCCCCACAGGGGCCTTCGGTGGAGCTCCCTATGGGGCCACGAAACGCTGTCCTGGGCGGGAGAGACGCATGCGAACACCCCCGCTGGAGCTTTCGGTGGAGCTCCCTATGGGGCCACGAAGCGCTGTCCTGGGCGGGGGAGACGCATGCGAACACCCCCACTGGGGCCTTCGGTGGAGTTTCCTATGGGGCCGCGAAACGCTGCCCTGGGTGGGGGAGACGCATGCGAACACCCCCACCGAGGTTTTCGGTGGAGCTCCCTATGGGGCCACGAAACGCTGCCCTGGGTGGGGGAGATGCATGCGAACACCCCCACTGGGGCCTTCGGTGGAGCTCCCTATGGGGCCGCGAAACGCTGTCCTGGGTGGGGGAGACGCATGCGAACACCCCCACCGGGGCTTTCGGTGGAGCTCCCTATGGGGCCACGAAACGCTGTCCTGGGTGGGGGAGACGCATG